TAATGATGATATCAATTCAATTACTTCAAAATCAGTTTTTAGATATTCCGATTTAAAGAATAATTTTACGTCCCAAAAGGGGTTTGAACCCGAAAAACAAAGAACCAACCTCCTTGTATTACTACTAGGCCACCAGGTATTTTGGGTTTTGTTAATCGCGGTTTCTCAGTAATTGAACGGAATCTTCACTATGTAACAGTTTATTTAAATTTTGAAGAGCGTGGAGTTTGTGTGGTTATCAATTGATATTATGGTTTGTTTAGTTTATTCAAAAGCCAAATTCGGGGAAACATGATTTAGATTCAACCTAAAAGTAAAAAAAAAATGAACTTGTAGGCTAACATAAGCAGAAACACCAAAAGCTGAAATGAGACAATCAAGTTTATTATTTAGTGAATAGTCGCAACAACAACCAATTGAAGCTCACAATAACAATCCAAAAACAACAAATCTAGTAGATGAATTTCAAGCTCGGGCATTACCACCTCTTCAAGTATTGGATCTTAATGCCCATGGAGGGCATAAGGGTTCAATGGCGTAAGAGTAACCCCCCGGTTGAATCCGCATAAAACAATAAAAAGAACAAAGTACTACGTTAACTTCGTCACGTTCTGTAAGAAGGAAGGGTACTTTAAGAAGGAAGGGTCCTGGGCAACGACAATGACACTTGTCGCAAAGTGGTCGTGAAGATCTATTGTTAGGCAGCAATTCAACATCTAAACCGCTCTTTTGTTTGAAGGTACAGTATTTGATCTTTCCTCCACGGTTGGCGTATCTGATATCTCCAAGTACACATAAAACATGCAAAGTAACCCCGCAATCTTTACAAGTGTAGAACCAAGTCTCTGGATTTGTTATGGTTTCGCAAACATCGCACCAGTATAATTTGTCGCTTGCCTTTTCACCATAACAAAGAGTGAGTGGATGATCATCATACCTTCGAAGTCTTACAGTTAATGGTAGAGTGGCGCAACGGAAGTCTAGAAAGAAGTCGCATTTGATGCAACCTAGGACATCTTTATCATTGTGCACACCGCAACTCTGGCATAATTTCATCTTTCTAAATTGTCCTTTGATGAAGAATAAAGGATGAGGATGACTTCCATGGATAAAAGGCACAGTAATCGAACTGCACATTAAGTCATAGGTCCGACCGATCTCCCCACGATACATGAATCCTTTGCAGCACACTTGAAGACAAGCATGGCATTTTTGTCCGGCGTGATATTCATTAGGGAAAAGAGTAAGAGGTCTTGGGCTCAGAAACTGTCGTTTCTTCTTACGAAGATTAGCACATGTTTCATGAAGAAAGAAATCGCCACGTGAACACTTGTAGAATGTGTCAGAGCCGATGGGACGAAAACATGCTCCACACAAGATGCTTTCCTCCAAAGCAATACCGTCTTTGTCGAAGGTCAAGTTATGTTCATGACCAAAATGAGTGATTGTTTTGTCATCATTCATCTTGAATGGCTCGATATCTTCAACTTCTTCGGGTACTCCATCAAGCTCTATCTTATCCCACACGTCCTCCCTNGTTGCACATCTTGAATGAATAGCATAATTAGNACAAAGGGAACAANNATAAGCCCCATATGACCGATCAATCTCTTCCCAACAAACTCCACATTTCCACTCTCCATGGCCAATAGGATACTTATATGAAACGCGGTGGTCATGGTGATTGACGTGAATGACACGCGGCAAACGAGCACAATCTTGATGGAAGATCATAGAATCACACTGAAGACAAACATAAGGAGCACGGTCGCCTTTTGTTCCGCAAGCATCACAAACAAAGGTGATCAATTTTGGCATGAGTGTGAGTGTGTGCTCATGGACCTTCAGATTTGAAAGAGAAACTGGTGGGGGTCCTTTTATCGCACAATCAAAATCCAAATTGAACTTGCAAATATCACAATGATAAAGAAGCATCTTCGTATCTTTTCCACACAGATGGCATTTGTAGTTGGGAGTTCCGTCGGTGAGAAGCTTAAGAGGGTGTCTGACATGAGAAGGGTGACTTATCTCTAGTGATGAGTCAAATACTGAGGCGCATTCTTTATGAACCGCCAATCTACAAAGGGGACAAAAGTAACCATCTCCGGCTGGCTGATCACCACCACAAACTTGGCATAAAACAAGATCTTTGAAATCAAGTATGAGTAGAGGATGAGGGTGCCACGGCATATACAGATGGGCTTGGGCACAGAAGGTAGGAAGCATGCAGTCGATGTCCAAATTGACTTTACAAGTGGAACAATGATAAACAAGTCGCTTAGTGTTTTTACCGCAAAGATGGCATTTCGGGTCCGTGTGATCTGGAGCCCCAGTTGTGAGAAGCTTAAGATGATGTCCAACATGAGAAGGATGCTCCAATGACTCTTCCATATAGAACACAAAAACACATCTCCAGTTAATGGTAAATTTGCATTCAAAGCAATGGCTGCCAACATGATCAGAAGATCCATCGCAAGCATCGCATTTCAAACCATTATAATAACTGTAAGTCCGGTACAAAGGATGCTGGTGTCTTGGTATAAGTACTGTATCCATGGCGGTTGTGGTTATTAAAGGTGGAGAGAATTGAGAATTCAGGTTTTGGTAAACTGATTCGTGTGATAATGGATCAATATTGTTGTTCCAACGCAAATTGATATATTCTACGCATCCATTATTAATATCTTTTTTTTTTTTTTTGGAATTGACGCATTATTAATATTAAACATCTATAATAATAGAACTAGTGGGCACGTCGTTAGCCTTTGCTTAAACTAGTATCGATCGTCTCGCTGAGATTTTGTCTGCCACATGAATTTTGTCTGCCAGTATTTTTTTTCAACAGCAAATAGTTTTTCCATTTTTGTATTCATATAAAGTAATGAAATACCATAAAGATTCCTTTTTTGAAAAGTACTGTATGATGAAAACCACCATGAATTTTTCTAACATGCAGTAATTAAGGTTTGCCTGTGTTTGATTGGTAACAAGTGACACACAGTTTACAATTTGTAAAGTTTGAGACGGTACCAATCAAAAAAAAAAAACATTTTTCTTGCAGTTATTTTTCTTGAGAAATTTCAAAAAGTGCTATTTTACAAAAACATTAAATTTTTACAAAAATGTCATTTTTTAAAAA